AAAATATGGATGGAGGACCTCAGATTAGCTTGTTTGTCGCGACAAACAAGCTAATCTGAGGTCCTCCATCCATATTTTCCGTTACAGGCTGAGTCGTTTTCACCTTCTCTCTCTGTCAACACTCTGGTTTCATTTAAAAGAGTCGATCACCAGATATTGTCCAAGATTAAACTTCAGGGTGGATATAGCTCGCTCACACCAAGGACCTATCCACGTCATCATTTACCCAGAATGCTTTGTGTGTAAATAAAATGACTGTCCGTGTTAAAATATATTTTTAAAAATATACACAACTAAACAGGCTACAGTATTTTTACAGTCTTTATTTTACAGTTAAAATACTGTATATGTTTATCAAATAAAGTCTAATGTTGCAACTAATCAGGGATCCCTTTAAAACTCGAGTTAAAAAGGGCATTGGGCGGTTAGGCATTCCTTCAAATAATGCTCGACTGTTTGTGTAAATGTGCGCAGGGAAATGAAGCCCTGGTGACGAAGACGACAGTGACTGTTCCTGCCAATGGAGGACCTGTTGAAGCCGTTTCCACCATTGAAACAGTTCCTTACTGGACTCGCAGCAGGAGAAAGACTGGTAAGGTTTTCATTTAGACCCGCTGCATCTCTGCTAGCCTGTAGATGATATTATTTTGAATATTCTGAATAAAAGTTTTACTTTTAAAGCAAAGCATTATTAACGTTTAACCAGGCAAATCCCACTGAGATCAGAGGCCTGGGTCTACTTTTATTCTTTGAACATAATAAAATACAGTCCATGTTTATTCAGTTTGGACTACAAACGGTGTCTGTGGGCCACTGTTCTGTGCCGTGAAGATGGGTCTACGTTTGTGAAATCATACATTGTAATATACCAAATATTATTCCTGCTTTGACAGAGCAGTATTTRTTGTTTAATTAATTGCAACCTCTCTACCTCTCATGCTCATAGGCTACACTGCCTCAGGGTTTATGGCTGCAGCTGATTCAGATGTTGATAAAAAATAATTTTTAAAATCCTTTTGTAACATTTTTGTTTTTATTTTTCCTCGCCTGTCAGTGAGAAGTAAAATACTTTTGGAGGGCAGATAATAAAAATAGGATTTCTGAAAATCGAAGCATTGCTCTTAAACCTAAAGATTTTCTGTAAAACGTGTTTTTAAGTTGTCTGAAAGAAAAATTGGAAACTGTAGTACTTTCTTTTCTCAGTCTTTCCAAACAATTCAATTCAGTTTATTTATGTACCGTCAAGTCACAATAAAAGTCGTCTCAGGGCACTGTACAGAAAAAACAACCTAAAGAAACCAGCAGAATGTGCTGAATCACTTCATCACAGTGTTTCATCCTGAGCAGCACATTGACAGCAGTGGAGAGAAAAAACTCCTTCATAACAAGAAGAAACCTCCAGCAGAACCAGGCTCAGGACAGGCGGCCATCTGCCTTGACCGACTGGGTTTGGGGGACAGGAAAGAGACACAGAAGGACTGGTCCATGTGTATTTTCCTTTGGAAGAGAGACAAAAAACATGTTATTGATAGAAATAAAAACAATAAACATGTAGAGAAGAGAGACTAAAGACAACAGCAGAGAGAGGAAATGTGCTCAGTTTGTGCTCCAGCAGTCTAAGTCTATAACAGCAGAAATGAAGAATAACTCAGGAAACCTAAGCCTAACAACAGGATTTATCAAAAAAGAAGATGGGAAATTATGACGAAAATGCACCAACAAACTATATGAAACTGTATTCCAGTTAGTCCACAGGTGATTGTATTGCTGCCGCTAACCTCGTTACAATACGTATAAACAAGGACAAAAATAGAGCTCTATGCAAATAAACATTGATTTTTATACATACAATATGCACAGAAAATGCACCACTTGCACGAGTGATTAAACATGCACAAAATAATAATAATACATCAAACTTATATATCACTTTTTAGGATACTCAAAGACACTTTCCGAGAGAGAGAAAAATATTAAGATGGTAAGGCCTGACTGAATAAGTGAGTTTTGAGTAGTGATCTGAAGAGAGGCAGAGATTCGAAAACATTAAGAACGAAAATTAACAATAAAAGTTACAGAGTTAACTTTCTAAAGCTGCGAGTAACCGCCATCTTGAAACTGGGTGAAGTCGCAGCCGCTACCACTATACGAATGGCATTTACCACCAGAGGGGGCATTCCAGTTTAAATTTACAAATGGGAGCAAGAAAATTTCCACCACACAGTGACATTGGAACACAACAAAAGTCTTCAGTCTAATCTTAAAAGTAGACAGAGTGTCAGCTTCACGGACAGAAACTGGAAGTTGGTTCCTAAAGAGAGGAGCTTGATAACTGAAAGCTCTGCCTCCCATTCTACTTTTAGAAACTGGAGGAACCACAAGTAAACCTGCAGTCTGACAGCAAAGTGCTCTGTTAGGAAAGTAAGGAACAATAAGATGTTTAATACTGTATATGATGGAGCTTGGTTGTTAAGAGCTTTGTATGTTAGGAGTAATATATTAAATTCTATTCTGAATTTGACAAGGAGCCAGTGGAGAGAAGCTAAAACTGGAGAAATATGATCTCTCCTTCCAACTCTCATTAAAACTCTAGCAGCAGCATTTTTGCATTAACTCGAGACTTCTTAAACAGTTTTTTTTTTGGATGTCCAGATAATAAAGAATTACAGTAATCCAGTCTAGATGTGATAAATGCATGAATCAGTTTTTCTGCATCATTAGAAACATCATAGAAAAATAATTTAATAATGTAAATTACTGCATTTRCTCTGAAGTTCATTGATAATGAGAACCAACTTGTTGACATTTTGTTGAAGGACATAAAGTCACTGATAACATGTTCATTTTAGATTAGAGTTACAAAAAGAAAATGTCACAAGCTTCACTTTGAGTTCTGTTGTAGCTGTCTTAAAGAGTTAAAGGAGACCAATTATGGGTCCTAGAAATTTTTATGGTATGTTTGTGGGCTATCCAGACCATGTTCATTCAATTTAATGCACAAAATAATTCTCAGATAATAAAATTTCTCATTTTCTAGTTCTGCCTGCTCTGACTTCTGTTCAGAAGAGCTGTATATGTTAATGAGCTCTGTTGGTAACGCCCTCCAAAAATCTGTTGA